CTTTGAAAACTATTTGTGGTATAGAACATCAGTGTCTCATGATAAAAATTGAGAATGTAAAGTCTAAAAAGGCCTGTGGAGCTCAAAGAAGTGTTTTGTAATACACGGCAAGATTTACTGTATATTCATACTAAATATTTTAATAAATAAAGTTGTGGTTTTACTTTTGTAGTTTTAAAGTGCAATAATGGAGATTACAAAAAAAAGAATTGGATTAGTTGTAACGAATCTACTCAAGTGTGTTTTATAGGTGGAGGAGTTTGCATATGGTGATCAACTTTGAGGAATCAGAAGTATCAAAGTTCTCATGAAACTCAGTCCTGGAAATAATTGTTCAAGTAGTCTAACTTAGCTATATCTCATCCAGGTATTTACCAGATATGCTCTGGAGAATAAATAAAGTGACTGTCTTATTTAGGGGCCTGTGATATGCAAGAAAATATGATAGTATGGTAGACATTACTTCATGCCTAAGTCTTGGTTTGGATAGCTCAGTGTGTCTGCCACTCCCACCCAAGTACATTGTGGCCAGATGCAATTTCTCTGTTCAAACACTAGTAAGCATCCAGGAGTACCCCTTTTCAATACTCAGTGCCAAGTCAAAACAAAGGAGGTCCAGTGGAGATAGCTGAAAACAAAATGCCAAAATGGGGTCTCTGGTAATGTTCCCTCTACCTGCCAATATTATGAAGAACTGATTTGCATTTTTGCATGTGATGCCACCATCAAAGCCAAGAATGCAATGGTCAGTTAGAGCTGCAGGGAACATGGAAAAACACCCAAGACTGCATGGCAAGCACTAGGGGTGTGCAAAGCTTTGGTCACTGATTCAATTCGGAGAAGATTTGGCTCGATTCGGAGGCAGATTCACCGAATCAGAATCAAATAGGGAGACAAACCCCCCCTGCTCTGAATCGATTTAGAGCCTCTGAATCAATCTGGAAAAAGATTCAGAGATTCGGCGATTCAGAAGGCAGTCTTGCAGGTGAACAAAAAGTGAGGAGGGGGAGCTGGGGGGTGGGGGAGGGGAAGACTGACATTTGTAGCTGGCCAGTGACTGATCTTTCCTGAGTCCCCTTCTAATCACAGTGCTCTGGGGGTGGGACATAGAAACAGCATATAAGCCTCTGTCTGCAGCCTTTCTGTCCCTCTTGTGAGCTGTTCTTGCCTGAGCAAAAGAGGGCCAGGCAGCTGGCCCACAAACAGGTGAGCAGGCAGAGATCTAACCGGCACTGGGAAGGCTCCCTGTTACAGGCTACCATCCCTGCTGTTTTCATCCCACTGGGCCTTAACATGCACACAGTCCCACATGTCATGAGTGTTGCTTTCAGAAGCTTAAAGTACAGCTTCCCAGAACCCCCTGTGCCTATCTCCATGAAACTTGGCGGGCCTCATGCCCTGAGAAGGGGCTCCCATCCCTGTTGTTTTCATCCAAATCTGCCAAAGAATGACGGTTATAGGTATTTCAGTGGTTCTCCATTATAGTCTACGACTGAATCACTCCGAATCAGTGCCAAATCTTCCGAAGCAGATTCGGCCAAATTGATTCTGGACAGTGATCCGAATCTCCAAATCAAATCACTGTCCTCCGAATTGGCCGTATCCAAATCAAATACTTCCCTATTCGCACAGGCCTAGCAAGCACCCAGTAGAACTTTTTGATTTGGGCATCATACAGAGAATTATTGGGGCAGCCGGGAACCCCTCCTGCTCAGCATGTTCTCCATGGTATCTGTGGTGGAGACTTAAAACTTTTCTAGTCTTTTTCCCTCCGTGGGATTGAATCTCATTGCCATTGGTCATACCCTACATCTGTGCCTAATCTCTTGCAGAGCTGATTTCTAATCATGCTCCCATTATTCTATTTTATACCCTTTTGCTTTCAAAATGGCATCTCTGCTAAAGGTGTAAAGATTTACTTCTCTGCTATGAGAAACACCACAGTTATGAGTTACTACAGGAAAAGCTTGGGAAGAAGGCAGTAAGTGTATCTCTCTCCACCTCCCTCCACTAACTGTAGAGTTCTCTCGCTCCCATTTTGCTCTGCTGTGAGCACTTCTTTAAAACTTTCAGTTTTTTAAACAATTATTGTTTTAATTATAGATATGGAAAGTTTGGGGATTTTTAAAGCTCATTAGAGAAGTTGCATTGATTCACAGCTTTGTAGTGCACTCAGCTTTTCATAGATCTTTAAAATTTGAAGTAAATGCCTCAGATTAGGCATTGGATACCTTTTAGAATGCATAAATATTTTAAGATGTTGTACTATACGGATTTTATAAATTAACTCCAAAATTCTATTTAATTTCACAGTGTTCTTTAGACTGATCTGTGGGAAACAAAAGCACTACTTAAGGCAGAGGTAGTGCTCTGTTTTGGCATGAGCATTTAAAAGTTAAAGCAGCTCTCTTAGGATTATCTAGGCATCTAGCCTAACCCTTGTGCTCCTGTCTAGCTGGAACAAGTTATCTTGATAAAGAGCAGAATTCCTGTATTGTTGATTTATACATTACCTTTTTGAACAGGGCTCCTCTTTGTCTTCTGAGAGGTTGTCTCAAGGTAATATTTTCTAAGATGAGAAGAATGCATGCAATTACTAAACAATACCCTGTCTCCTTCCATGCTTCTTTAAAAAGAGAGAGGGGGAAGAATCCAGAGATCCACTGTGCTGGCACTAATTCATGTGACTTTTAAAGTAATGAGTCATGTATACAGTCCCAACTCTCACATACTTCCCAAAAGAAATGTAAGATGGATATAGTATGAGTTGTTTGGAAAAAACCCTTGCCATCTTTCTAGGACAGTACAGACTGGGCAGAGATGGTAGAAACGACATTCCAAATTGTAGGAAAATAAGTATTTAATTATTGTGGGAATACAGACTGTAAGGGATAGAACAATAAGTAATTATACTTTTCCTGATTTTCCCCCCCCCCCCCCCCCCCCCCCCCGATACCTGTTAACTGCAAAGAAAGCAGTTATCTTCAGAGTATCTGTCAGATCTTGGGAATGGGGAAGGTGGAGATGGACTAAAGAAGATGTGGCTCATTACTATTCAGTTTGTTATGATGGAGGATCATAAAGACAGATTTGTGCAGAGAAGGTTTCATGGAACGTTTTCAAAATATCAAAAATGGAGGCTAGATTCTTGAGAGAAGTATGTATAACCTTGGAAAGGAACAAAATGTAATCCCTGCAGAGAACAAAACAGCTATGACAATATCTCTTATTTCAAGAGACAAAGACTACACCTTGGCATTCTAATGTTCTGTTAAATGTAGAGATAGGTAGGTTGGGACTGCCATTTCTTTAAACTTAATTTTGGGTTCTTTTTATCATATGCAACTCCACAGAAGTTGGAGAAAGAGAAATCTTTGAGTGAATTACCCACCAGAGCTTGTGAGCACTCCATGGTATAGCTGTGTCGCACTTCTACTGTTTTAAGTTCAAACTATGTTTTAATTTTTTTACTTTTATTCAAGCATGTTATCTGTATGAAATGCACTTTCCAAAATATATCTTCTAACAACTTGTTTGAAAAACCTTAATTCGGATATAGTTCAATCCACAGATGACTTAGTATTTGCTACTCTATGCTGTTTGTTCTTAAAGAAACCAAAAAGCACTTTCTTAATTACAGCACAATTATTAGGCACAATGGCCCCTGGTGTATAAAGTAGGAACCTAGTGCATCACTTCCTTGTTTCCTTTACTTGGGGTATATGATAGGGGCACCTTCTCCATTATATAGAAAATCTCTTCACTTTCTGCTTTCTCTGATTCTCCATCAGACACTTATCACATCAGGCATGTCATGATTAGAAACGTTCAACTCCCTTTCAGCCTCTAAACAATGTACTCTGCTGAATTTTTTTAGTACCTAGGAGTAAAGTTTAAAGTACTCTTGTCCCCACTTCCAGTAAAAAAAGCTTCATAGATGAAGTAATCTGGGTTGCCAAAATTAGAGGAGGAATCTACTTCTAAAGGGGCCAAAAAAAAGTTTCTGTGTCTTATCAATGGCCTTGAAACTTGGAAACATCTTTTAAAGCCATCAAAAAGCCTAGGAGGCTGACACTGTATAGAAGAACCCTCTTCATAGCATTGCACATCTGTGACCACAGCCTCAGCAGCTGATATTCTTACACTAAACTGTTTAGCTACTGGTTGTCAGCAATGAAAGAGAAGGAAGTGAAAATCCATGTTGTGAAGGTAAAATGGTTTCCCATGCTGATAGAAACTCTAGTTCCATTGCTGCAACTCTGGGATGACTTCTGTTCAGATTTCTAGGGCAATTGCTTTTTTTGTCCTGAGGTTCTGTCACCACAGCAACCATTTTGGGGGATTCCTTAGTTTGATTGCCTGTGAAGGCCAAGATGGCTCTTCTCCCATCAGTTGGTTACAGTTGTCTGAACAAAGCAGAAAATAAAATATAGCAGTTCTGTTAGCTATATTGAGGTACCATTAACAGTTCTGATCTTATAGAGCCAAATCCATCTGCTTGCATGACTCAGAATGCATATGCATCTTCCTCTCATATTACTTTCATGGTTATGGCACAGCACTTTGTCATTCATGCTGCATTGTACCATTTAGAAAATAGTGCAGACAAAATTGACAGATGCTATAAGAGGAATCATTGGAGTTTATTGTTTAGGTAGTCATAGAATTCCTGTAGTTTGATATCCATCTCAGGATGGCTAGCATGACAAATCAGAGTGTAGAACAGAACAGTGGAACAATGCCCAGTGCTGCATCTCCCTAGGCTTCTGAGTGGTTAATTTGGGCAGACAGAAGTGTGTGAATGTAATGATGAAGTAGGAAATTTCCATAATGTAGTGTGGATGCGCTTCGGTTTGCTGCAGTCAAATTACAACTTTTAGAACAAATGACTAGATTGAATCAACATCACTGTATATATCATTTTGGGGTATTTTTAACTTTTGTGTCTTACTTCATTGCAGTTGAAGTATTTTTCAAGTTATTCTTATTTTCATCCTCAGAAATTATATGAGCTGAATAACCTGCATGCCCTTATGGCAGTGGTGTCTGGATTACAAAGTGCCCCCATCTTCAGATTGACTAAAACGTGGGCGGTAAGTAATCTCAGTAGGACAGTGGGTGACTCTTAATTCCTTCTTAAAAATAAAGATTGTAGTATATCCTTCTGTAGTCTGTTTCAAGGATCCAATGATTATTTCAGATGCACTTAATTCACTTGTACTCTGTACATTATTTCTAGTGCCTCTAAATCTACATTTTCCTCTTGAGCTTTTTTCCATTTTGGCATAGACATTTTTTCCTTTGAAAATGGTTCCCTGAAGATTCAGTTAAGTTCAGAGGTTCTAATTTGGCCAAATGCTATTTTGTATTAGTTACTGGAAAATTATGAGTGCCAAAGCAGTCATATTTTAATCATTATGGGTTTTACACTGTTGGAATTTTTCATCTGTAAAGAATACATATCCAAAATCTTTTGAGTCAGATTCCATAAAGATGTGTATATTTTTATTTTTATCACTGATAACTGGGCTTAATTTTTCCCCAATGTGTTGTCCATTGTACTTTATATGCTGACTATTCTAAACAGTGCATTTGCTTGTTTTTCTTTTTCTAATACCTAATTTTGAAAGAGAAATTATTTTTCCTACTCTGCCCACCCTCTCTTTTGACTGAAATGGTAAGCTGGTGTTTGCATACTAGTGTCAGTGATTGGCACAACTTTGGGCAACGTGCTGACCTAGTTGCAGGTTCAGAACTAAGAAGAATATTCAGCCTAATTCTACCATAAATTGTATGTCTGCATAGCCATATAAATAATAAGAGATGGAACACAGTATTTTCAAGCCTGATCACTTCAGAGTTCACCCAGAACATGAAACACTCCAGCGTGTAATACAAACTTTAATTAGTTTGTAAAAAGAGGTAAAAATTTTCAGGGATCAGAATGTTAGTGGCTACAAGAGTCTACTGTATCCTAACAAGACAGACACATTAAAGGTAAACATTGTTAGCTGACATATTCTGTCAGCCTAACCATCAATATTAAACCAGGTATAATTTTGCCATTGGCAAGTTAGGCAAATTCAACAAACACCATACAGTTCCTTATTTTTTGCATTGACATACCTTGTTCTGAAAGGTCTTAATTTAAAATGCACTTACTATTCAGAAATGTTCGAGAAAATCTTCACTCTTGATCTATTTTTAATGGCCTCCCTTCAGTTTCACCAGTCAACATGCTTATACAGGATAAAGCTATGCATCTCTGGATTCTATCTGAGAAAATCCAGATCCTAAATTTTCCCTCCCTATTCGAACCACTAAAATATAAAATAATCCATTATTGGAAAAATCTGATGAATTGCATGTCTTTTATTTTTGGGCAAGTGTTTTTTAAGATTTCAGGCCTTTATAAAGGAGCCACTTCCTGCACTCAATCTGCATGAGCTTTTGCAAAAATAGGTAGTCTAGAAACTCGTGACAAAATAGGTCTCGCACCCACCAGTTTTAAAGATATTGGATTCATTTAAGGTAAAGCCATCAAACTATTGTCAGCTTCTAAACACAAACTCTTTCTCTTAACATCTTAAAACTGTTCTTGGTAGAGGGAAACCATAACTAAAGTGAAATGAATAGAAGAGCTGAAAGAATTAGGGAGCTGCAAGAATGAGAGTTCTTTCAAGTGAAGCTCTGAATCATCCCCTCCTACTTCTGTAAGCAGTTCTGACTGTTGTTGTCTCCCATTACATTCAAAAGGGTCAACAACAGGTAGTCGATGGGCCAGATCTGGCCTGCAGTGTCAGTGGATCTGGTCTGTACCCATGCCTACAACTGGGCTGGTGCTGGGCAGCTTCCAGCTGTGCCTGCACTGCAGTGGCAGCTGGTGAGAAATGTCAGCAGTGCAGATGAAGCTTCTGGTTCATCAACCCAGGAGCAGCTCCCTACCAGCTGGAAGTTGTACCTGCAGTGCAGCTGGGGAGTGGAGGCCCGGGGAGAGATGGTGGCGGCAGCAGCAGCAGCCTGGGCTCAATTCCAAGCTGTCCAGATCTGGCACAACTTCCCCTGGGCTGGAAGCTGTGTTTATGCCCCAGCCTGGAATTGTGGGGGGAGGCTTGGAAAAGTGGTGGGGCATTTCATCCAGCGTGGTTGTCATGGCCTATGGGATGCAAAGGTTGCTGGCCCCTTACATAAAGTGTATGTATTTTAGAGCAGTTTCAAAAGGCCAGCAGCTGTTAACATTCTAATTGTCAGGGGCAGACAAGCCAGGAATGATACAAATGTAGCAAAACCACTCTCACTTTACCACTCTTCTATTCAGTTAAACTTGGAGCAATTTTGCCAATAGCATAAATTGAGTTGGGGGTAATGGCCAGGGGTACCAATCTGGAAGGGGTGCCAGAATGGCAGTACCTGGGAAGCCTGCCCCAGCAAGGCAGCATACAGGGAGCCAGCAGCAACTGCTGCTATCAGGTAAGATGCTTGTGTGTGGGGTGTGTGTGTCCATTCTCCTCCACTCTCTTCAGATGCTTGACACAGCACTCCCATTTGTCTCTGCTAAGACGCAAAAATCACTAATTATGCATTTGAGGTTTGCTACTTGCCCATGTTTGTCTTCGTGAAACAATTAAAATGTAACAGCTGCTGGCCTTTTGAAACATTCCTCTTTTGAAACTACTCCAAATATATGCATCTATACCCACAGATACTACTATTGCTTGTTCTCTGGATACTTGGGGGGTGGCGGGGGGAGTCCATTTTGACAACAATTTGGAAGGAAAGGAAAGGAGGAAAGAAAATCTAAGGATCATTGAATGGGTGCTTTTTCTTCAGCATTACCTGTGCTCTAGTCGCATTCTCTACCAGATTGCTCCTATGTTAAAGAAAAGAGAGGGAACCTGCTATGCATACCATCCCCTCCATAAGGAACTGCATAAGGAAACCGTTGAAAGGGTAACACTTTTGGAGAACCTCTCAAAGACTTTGAATGTAGCAATCAGATTTCAACAGTGTTGCTTCTTACCCCATATTTAAGAAAACACAGTTGACTGTCAGATTATTTCATTGCAGTCAAAACTTTCAGCATTTCTTTTGTATTGTAAAAGGAAGCATTTGTGTTTTTATTACTTTCATTCCAATGGAGTTATAAAATACCTCCCAAGCACAGACAGAACATATGTCAAAGCATGATGGAATGAAAAATTTTACCTAGATTGTCTTATTAGAGTATCTACTGCTTAATTAACTTGAAAGCTAAATTTAATATCCTGAGCTTTGAGGTGTGATATAATACTAGAAAAAAAAAGCTAGACTTCCTTACTCATATGTTGGAGCTAGAACTAACAGCACTTTGAATGTGTTCTCAGCTCCATATATTATTATCCCTGAAAATCTGTAGGAGCTCTAACCTGGCAGTGTGTCATGAGAGATGCAAAACACCGATGTTAATTCAAGCTGTGTTCTGGAACTTCAGAGAAAACAGTTTCTTGGAAGACCGGCCCCTCCTTTAAAAAAGAAACCTGATGATGTAGAATTGCGTTGGAGTGTTGGTCATCCTTGTGACAGTTAGTGGGTAGAAAGGTAGACAAGAATGAGAAGAAGTAAAACAAATAAAAATGACATGTTTGCCAAAATACATAGATTAGGTCCATTGCAGTCATGACCACACAAGTAGATTTTGATTTGCAAAGGAGGGAATTTGCATGTAAAATCTTGAGGATATGTACCTACACAACTAGAGTTTCCCTTAATTCCACTTATTTTAATAACTAGCTACTGTACATCTTATTTATAGCTGAAACTGTGGTTGAGCTGCTAGAATACCTTGTCTCCTGCCAAAATGTACAATCCAAACATTTTTCTACACTTCCTTAAATCTTGGGCCTAAAATGAAATAAAAACTTTAATGTGGCTTCTCAATGGCAGTTCTGTTAGTTACCTCAAGTGCAGCATTTTCTAATTTTGTAATTTATTCCCTACACAGAGAGCTCAGCTATAGTTAAGAGCCCAGGAGGGAGCAGGGAAGATGGACTTGCACTAAAAGATAGATTAATGATTTAAGTTTTGTGTTCAAAACTAATGAACTTTTAATATGAATGGAGCCTGTAAAACTGCTTTTTTGGCTGTCTGAATAATATACCAAGTAGTGCTCAAATAGAAATGCTTTTCTGTGGAGAAGACTGATCAAGTCTCTATTACACCTTCCTTTTCCAAGGGGAAATTCTGGTTAAGGATTTGAATATCAGTGTATTTGCATGAGGCCTCAATCATCATTACAATAAAATAAATTCTAAGTACTTACAAATTTTGGTATTTGATTGTAGCGTTTTTATCGTGGGAAAACCAGAACTTGTCCTGCCCCCTTTGCTTACCAGGATGCAGGTCTAGGCCCTTTACTCCCAAGCCACAGCCCCCCCTCCTCCACCAGCCCTGTTGAAGGGGGCCCCCAGCTGCCAGGGCTATGGGGCCAGGGACCTGGGTCCACAGCCCCCTGCTCCTTGCAGCAGTGCCCAAGCCCTGGCTGCTGTCTGCAGGAGGTGGCCGCTGCAGCAGAGCAGAATGCAGAGCCTGGCTCCCAGTCCCTATGGGTGGCACAGCTGGAGTGGAACCCATCGGTGGGGGGTGCAGACTGCCTGCTGTGAGCTTCGACTCCCTGCCCTGCTGTCCCCCCTCCCCCCCCCCAGGCCCTCTGCAGCCCAGCAGGTGGGACCCGGCACAGAGCAGAGTAGGGCCAGGCAGGGAGACTTGGGGCTTGCAGCAGCAGCAACATGCCGCCGTGGCGAGGCGCCCCCAGGCTGCCTGGCAGCAATGAGGGGCACACCTCTGCACCACTACTTCCGCTGCCACCAGGCAGGGAGAGGGAACCTTGCCAGGGTAGCATGGGGCTTATAGTCGTAAGGAGCCGCCTTGCCCAGCCCTGCTCTGCCCCGCTGCACTAGGTCCTGCCCGTTGGGCTGAGGAGGCCCTGGGGGGAGGATAGCAGGGCAGGGAGCCTGAGCCTGCAGTGGGCAGCCCACCCCTGTCCTGTGTACAAATCTGGGGGGCATGTGCACAGTGACAGGGAGTTAGGCCCCCCACACCCTGGGCGAACTGCCCACGTCCCCATCCTGCTCCCTGCTGGGGCCCTGTAGCTACGCGTTCTGGCCCCTTACCTGCAGGGAGCTGCTCTCCAAGCTGCCTGGCAACCATGCACATGGCAGCCCCTGCCTGACCATCTTCCTTCTGCTCCTTCCAGCCCATGCAGGCTAGAACTCTGCCAGCCTGCAAAGACCTCCTTGCAAAAGTGGAAAGTCCATGTATTTCCCCATTAAAATGAAAATTCTGCATGTTTCTTGTTTAAAAGGGCAAATCCACATTTTCCCTGTTTTCCTATGGGAAACAGAAAACCTATATCCCTGGCTATTACCTGCTGCATGGTAACACTTTATTTATAAAATGGGGAAAAAATTACTAATGGTAAATCAAATTCAAACATAATCAGTGCATTAGAGTTCAGTGATTTTTTTAACTATGTGGAAATTTGAAGAATTTTGTATTACTTCATTTTTTTTGTCCTTTATCTTAAAAATTATCTGACAGTTCTACATTTTTAAGGGACCCATTTAAGTGCTAATTTTAATTCACGACCTAGCCATTTTTTCTTGTAAACACTCAATTTATTCTGTAGAGGAAGGCAGTGTTATATTCTTTACCACAAAGGACTGAATCCATATTTTAACTTCAATAGTCATCTCAGCTGTAAATTTCTAACTACAATCCTTCTAATTTTGTGTCTCTTTTTTTAGTTATTGAGTCGAAAAGACAAGGCTACCTTTGAAAAGCTGGAGTATGTTATGAGTAAAGAGGATAATTATAAGAGACTTAGAGATTATATCAGCAGCTTGAAGATGACTCCTTGTATTCCTTATTTAGGTAAGCTGAACAATTTATGGGTGGTATTAACAAGAAAATACTTACACAAGCAACTAGAAAAAAGAAACCCATTTTAAGCAGTATATGAGAAGACATATAAATCTGGTTGGCTATAAATGTTTTGTATACAGCAAGAAAAATCTCTCTCTCTCTGTGTGTGGGGGGGGGGGTTGTGTATTAAAAAAACAAAAAAAAACCCCAACCTTCCAAGTGCTTTAAGATTTTACATGAAGCATCAGTTTTCTTGGAGATGGTTTTTCCTTCTGTTGTGTAGATATAATGATTGACTGATGGTGGAGTAGTTAGACTGTTATTCCTGGCAATACTTTTGAAGAACTAAACATTTGACTGTGCATAGCTATAATGAAAAGCAGTACATCACTAACTTGACAGATAAGTATTAATTATAGACTATTTATTTTAACTACTGTGAAACCTGATTTATACTGTATGAATTGACACTTGAATTATATTGAAGTGACCAGGATAATTAGGTCATTGTTATTAAAGATAAAGAAATAAAGTAGCTGATGTGCAGAGTTAATGTGAATAATTGTTTTTAGAAAACTTGATCAGTTCATTTATTTTCATTGCATATTGTTTCTCATGTCTTGACAAAATATAACATTTTCATCAGCTTTTTGGAATTACTTGCTGAACCAAGGAGAATTGAGCAAGATCATTATAATTTACTTGTAATATTGCTCATATTTTTGGTTTCCTTTAATCATATAAAAACATCAGTGTTTAACAAAAGTGTTTGTCCAACTGCTTCCCTCTTGCAGCTTAGTCCAAGGTTAGCTGAGTTTCAGTTAATGATTTGTGTTACACATCTCAGCTGTTTGTATGTCTGTAGTTGGAATAATCTCCAGTGGTCTACTGTAGTTTACTGGATTTTAATTTCACTTCACTCTGAATGTAATAATTTTTCTGTTTTACCATTGCTGGGTTATTTTAGCTTCTCCATAACCCCAGACTCTGGAGGCTCTTCTTTGTGTTGAAGTTTTCATAACTGTCACAGTAGGTGGCAGGGAATGCCTGGCCACTCAGTTTCCACTATTTTATTAGTCTTACCAGCAGCAGGCAGGCTTAACTACATCTTCAGGCGTTCTAAAGAGAAATACGACTGTTTGTTTCCATAATTTATGGTAGTGTAAGAGTGACGTAGCTGTGATTTATCTAGAGCAGGGGCAGGCAATTATTTTGGGCAGAGGGCCGCTTACCCAGTTTTGGCAGGCTGTCAAGGGCCGCATGGGTAGCTCCACCCCTTGACAGGTGCCCCACCCCCTGGTCACCATCTTGGGACCAGTGTCTTGGGATCAATGTCCCAGGGCCAGCACTGGTGGGGCCCAGAGCAGGGCACAGGCTGGCAAGGGTCTGTGGAGCCAGGCTGGGCTGCATCAGCAGGGAGGTGGGGTCTGGCCCAGCTTCATAGAGTCCTTGCTGGTTGGGACCCTGCCCTCCTGCCACCCTGCTCTGGACCGCACCGGCACTGGCCCTGGGACACTAGTGTGGGCCCCATGCTCCCACTGGCTCCCCACCTGCTCACACCCAGTGCCCCCCAGCCCTGCAGTACAGGTGGGGGGCAGCGCTCGGCCCTGACCCCCTGTTTGCCAGCAGGGAAGAAGCTGGTGCAGAGCGTGGGGAAAAGTGGCCCCTCGCCCATCTC